TGTAACAGACCATACACCTAGAATATGCAAGGAACTCATAGAGGAGATATCAGAGCCATTAGCTATCATCTTTGAAAAGTCATGGAAGTCAGGAAAGATTCCAGAAGACTGGGAAAGGGTAAATATAGTGCCCATCTATAAAAAGGGAAATAACAACCTTGGAAACTACAAACCAGTCAGCTTAACTTCTGTGAAAAGATAATGGAGCAAATAATTAAGGAATTCATCTGTAAGACAAGGTGCTAGGTAACAGCCAGCATGGATTTGTAAACAACAAATCATGTCAAACTAATCTAATAGGTTTTTTTGATAGAATAACAAGTCTTGTGGATAAGGGGAAAGTGGTGGACATGGTAAACCTAGACTTTAGTAAAGCATCTGATATGGTCTTGCACAACCTTCTTATCAATAAACTAGGGAAATACAACCTAGATAGAGCTACTATAAGGTGGGTGCATAACTGGCTGAATAATAGTTTTCATAGAGTTGTTATTAATGGTTCACAATCATACGGGAAGGGCGTAACAAGTGGAGTGCCTCAGAGTTCAGTTTTGGGACCGGTTCTGTTCAATATTTTCATCAGTGTTTTAGATATTGGCATAGACTGTATGCGTATTAAGTTTGCAGATGATACCAAACTGGGAGGGGATGTAAGTGCTTTGGAGGCTAGGGTCATAATTCAGAATGATTTGGATAAACCGGAGAAATGGTCTGAGGTAATTAGGATGAAATTTAATAACGACAAATGCAAAGTACTCCTCTTAGGAAGAAAAAAATCAGTTTTGCACATACAGAATGGGAAGTGACTCTCCAGGAAGGAGTATTGCAAAAAGAGATCTAAGGGTTATAGCGGACCAGAAGCTACATATGAGTCACAGACACTGATGCAAAAAAAAAAAAAAAAAGCAAACATGATTCGGGGATGCAGTAACAGGAGTGTTGAGAGCAAGAGAAGTATTTCTTCTGCTCTACTCTGCACTTACTAGGCCTCAGTTGGAATACTCTGTGCAGTTCTGAGCATTACATTTCAAGAAAGATGTGGAGAAATTGCAGAGAGTCCAGAGAAGAGCAACAAAAAGGGTTAAAGGTTTAGAAAACATGAGCTATGAGGAAAGACTGAAAGAATTGGGTTTGTTTAGTTTGGAAAAGAGAAAACTGAGAAGGAGACATGATAGCGGTTTTCAAGTTCATAACGGGGGGTTACAAAGAAGAGGGAGAAAAATTGTTCTCCTTGACCTCTGATGATAGGACAAGAAGCAAGGGCTTAAATTTCAGTGAGGGAGGTTTGGGTTGGACATTACGAAAAACTTCTTGTTAGGGTGATTAAACACTGGAATAAATTGAGTAGGGGGGTTTAAAACTGGGAGAGCCAGGCATATTCATCCAGCAATCCAAAGATTCCTGCAGGGGAAAATCTGAAAGGATAATGGTCCTTACAACAATTTTAAGTACTACTAACAATAACTAAGCTAACTAAAACTATAAGAAAAACTGTAATTGAACTAAATTAGATATGGACTCCATCTCAGGCTAAGGCAGTTGAGAAGGAACTCTGTGGATGGTTCATGGTACAGCTCCACATAGCTACAATGCAGAGTGCAAAGCAGAGCACATGCATGAACCAAACTGGTATTGCTCTCTAAAATCTCTGATCAAAGGTATATGGAGCACATGTGCATTTGAAGTAGAGCACCCATAGGACACTACTTGAAGAAGAATTGTTTTATTGGACAGACTGCTGCAACTTTCTTTTTCTAATTAATTAAAAAGGCCACAAGAGTTTGCATAGTTTAACAATTAAAAGGCTAATGAACCTCGCGTGTACAGGTAAATATATGCACATTTCATATCTGAATTACTGATTACATTAATTTTATCTACAATATATTAGAGAATTTGTGTGTCAGTCAGTCAGTCAGTCTCTGTACCCATCAAAGTCCATTTGTTCAAGAACGCCTCCCAAATGGTAAGAGATAGGACCACCACATTTGCTATGTAGCTTCCTCTTATCATAACTTAAAGCAAGGTCAGAGCTTGGTTGTGACAAGACAATGGGATTTATGCGGAATGTGACTGTCTCACATCAAACAGAAAGAAGGGTTTGATAGCAGGGACAGTTGTACCCCAGAATGACCACAGGGGAGCAGCAAGCACAGGGGACAGCTATACTGCAGACTGACCACAGAGGAACAGCAAGCAAACATATTACTAACAGCCCCCGAGAGCCACGGAGCAGCCCCCACTGCCTCAGGAAGCAAAGTCGCTGCCAGGCAGCGCAGCAACCATCACCACCAAGAGGAGCCGCTGTCCGTTCCCACTCCTACTCTGAGCCTCTCCCCACCTTCCAACCCCATGTTGAGATCCCCACCCTCTGCCCTGACTCTTGCACCGCCCCCCCCCAGCTCCCTGCCCTGAGCCTCCCACATCTCCAAACTACTGCCCTGACTCCTGAGCAGGTAGCTGGGGGGGGAGGGTGGAGAGAGAGGGAGAAGGTGAAGTGTGCAAAAGGATCCAATAAATGCTGGGTAAATCTTTTAGTATCCAATATTTTAGCTAAAGATATTTGAACAAATATCTAGCAGATGGAAACATTTATTAAATCTTATATGTAGCAATAGATTGAACATGATTGGTGTAGAGTAAATTCAGAATAGTGTTTGTAATCCTGTGGATGCATTCCAACCTGACCCCCTGTAACATCCATCTTTGCTTGCCTGGAAGCATACAGGACACACAGAGCAGTAAAATCAGCATAGTCTTTGAAAGCCTTGACAGGAGGCCCAGATATGCCAGCTCACCCAGTGACCCTGGACAACTATAAGCAGAGATAAGAGGGTGGTCGAACTAATCGCTGACCAAGAGGCTGCCGAGGAGTGCCCTTGACTGAAACCTATATTGATATGAACACACACTTGGTGGGAAGAATCTCCTGCCCAGTAAAAAAATGTCCAGCACTAACAATTTAATTTGCAAGAGTAAATTAAGTTGAAATTCCCTTGTAAGGACTGGCGTCACAAAGACAGACCAACACAGTTTGGCATCTTAAATAAGAAAGAGGATACGGGCCCCTATGGATATAAAGATGGGTCCAGCAGCACGCTTACTCTGAGCGTCAATCTACCATCTATCTGCTGGTCGGGTTAGGTGATTGGCCTCCTGAGGTTCCACGGGGATGCCCACCTCGTATTCGTTTTTCCTAGGAATTGAGGGACCGGCCCTGGCCTGATACGCTGGAGTCGAGAGGCACAGAAGGGGGTAAAAATTGTACCTGTATGTGTCCTTTGTCTTAAGTGTACACATAGATTTAGAGCTCTTTAAAGATTAAGCTGTCACTTGGTACCATTATTTCTATTTTCTATCTTTATTTTCTTTGTAACCATTTTTAAGATCTATATTTTGCTAGCAGTTAAGAAATAGAACAATAGCCATTGCAACCATATGATTTATAAGCTTCCTCAATAAACCTGTTACTGTTTAAGTTTTAACCTGACTCCTTCAGTTGCTGTAACAGAACCAAGAACAATTTAAAAGAACTCCAGCCAGTCATAAGGGACAGATACAGGCAGAGCTGGGCATTTGGATCATGTCGCTTCCAGAGGACAGATCCGAAGGGGCATCTCTCAGCCTTCCCTAGGCTGCCCGGTGCGAAGGGATCATGTATCCTAGCAGTCAAAGTCTGAGATGTAATAAGCTCTCCCTGTAAACTCTGGGGCATCTGTCAGCCTGTTGGCTGCCCACTGCGAAGGGACCTGGTCCTAGCGGTCAAAGACACGGACGTTAAACTTCTCGGGGTGCCCGTCAGCCTCCCTAGGCTGCCCGCTGAGACGGGACCTTGTGTCCCAGCAGTTGAAGACTCGGGTGTAACATACACACACACACATACTGCCCTGACCATCGACTGACAACTACTGAGCCCCGTAAATTTATCAATAGTATCTCTGGAGATAACACCAAAGACTAAATTTGTGAACATCACACTTAAACCATTCAGTGTTCAAATGGAAGTTTTTAAAAAACATAACTTCCTGAGGCTTCACCGCCCCCCATTTCTCAGAACATTTGGTATACATGCAAAGACAGATCTATAAGGTCCTGGGAGGTTTTCAAGGCTGAGAGTGGCAAACAGCTTTAATGTGCCACAACCACCCTCTTATTCTCCTATTGCTAAAAGAGAAGAATGAAGGGGGCTCAGCTAGCAGGAAGAAGGGGAGGGTTTGAACTACTGCTATATATGTTTGGTGCTATTCCATTAACATGGAAACTGAAGACTGACAGAGTGCATAAATGATTTATTGGAAAAAAAGTTAATTAATTGCATATCAAGATGGCAAACAAATATCCTTTGGGTTTAACTATACAGGCAGTCCCCGGGTTACATGGATCCGACTTACATCGGATCCCTACTTACAAACGGGGTGAGGCAACCCTGCACTAGCTACTTCCCCCCAGCAGACCAGGGAGATGCGAAGCTAGCGCCCCCACCCCCCCAGCAGACCAGGGAGACGCGGAGCAGCTTTTCTCAGCAGACACCTCAGCTTGAGAATAAAGGACTGAGGGAAGTGAGGTGTGGGAGAATAAAACTGAGCTCTGGAGAAATGTTTGGCTAGAGTTTCCCCTACAATATGTACCAGTTCCAACTTACATACAAATTCAACTTAAGAACAAACCTACAGTCCCTATCTTGTACGTAACCCGGGGACTGCCTGTAGTGCAAAATATTTGTACCCTAGAGAAGATTAAAGGCATTTACTAAAACATCAGAATTCATAACTCTGTTACCTCATTTTTAACTAAAAACCCTATGCACTGATTTATGAAATGCCTTTGAACTCTGTTAGAAAATATAAAACTGACAATACACCATCAGTTTCTTCACAGAGTGTTAAATACATTGCTTAGGTGCAATTATCTTGCTTATTCAGAATGACTAAAAATTACTTTTTAAAAAAACTGTTCATTTTAACTGGATATAGGTATATTATGAATAAAACATTTTTTACCTGTTCACAGTAGTATTGCTTTGATCGTGTGTATATGTCCAGGAATTAAACATTCCTTCCTTGCTATTATTTGGAGTAGGCTGCAATAAGCAGAAAGCATATCTATAAAAATACTACTGATATATTTTACAGTAAGTACCAAGAAAGCAAAATAAAATAAACTGCATAATTAAAGTTATTTGATAAATCTCACCTGGGTTCTTCTAATCCTATTTTTGGACAAACTGAGATCTGCCAGTTGTTCCACTGTAGTTGTGTATGCTTCCTGTAAAACAGAAAAGCAACTACAAATATTTAGTAATAGAAGATTTACCCAACATTGCTCAGATCCTTAAACTCAGTAAATTTTTGTTTTACTTCATTTAAATCATTGCTCTGGGGTGGGGCTAGGAATGAAGGGTTCAGTATGCAGGCTGCCCTGGGGACAGAGAACTACCTCAGCCTTCTCTCACCACAGTAACTTGCAGCCAGGTGAGAAGTGCCTGTCCATGGCCGCTGCAGCTCCAGTGGGCACAGCTGCAGGAGGGGTTACATGTGCCCTAGCTGGGACTGTTCCAGGTTCATTTGCTCCCTGCACTCCCCAGCCAGACTGAGGAATGGAGCAAGCAATGCACTTTCCCCTCACTACCTGACAAAGGAGAACAGCCAGTAATGTTCCGTACAATTGGAAGAAAGGAAGTTGCAGCCCCACCCACTCTCCCTGAAGTGCACCAATAGGATGGGAGGCTTGGAGTTGGGTCATACCTAGCCAGCTCCTATTACATGCTTGGTGATTCTCTTTTCTGCATGGTTTTATGAGTCCCCATACATGTTGGGAGAGAGCTTCAGCTCCTCCCTCCCTCACCAAATCTTTACCTTGTTTTAAGTTACAATGAGAGGAAGATACATACAAATTTGGTGATCCTAGTTCTTACTGTTTAGGAGGAGTTCTTGAACAAACAGATGGACAGACAGACTCACTCACTCTCACAGACAAACACTCTCAAATATATAATAGATGCAGGAAGACACTTTTCAGGCATAGCCACTTATTTATCTTGGATCTTTTCGTACAAAAAGTGTCCTCAGTTAAAACCATACATCCCCATTTGCATCAGTGAGGTTTCAAGTGTGTAACTAAGAGTCAAATTTAGCTTTCAATAAAACGTGTGTGAATTTAGTGCTCACAAAAAGTGATGTCTGAGAGGCCTGGAATCTCACAGAAAAAGTACAGTACATGAGTAGGGCTTTACTAGGGATGCGAAAAGGTGTTTATTAAAGTAAATGTTTAACTGCTGAAAATTTCAGCAGTTACACACAGAGAGGGGAAGTCAGCTCCACAGGAGCCAGTGCACCCTCTCTGCCTCCCCCCATTTTGTTGCTGCCTCTGATACAGAGACAGCAGCATGGGGGGGGGGAGGTGGGAGCTGGTGTGTGATGAGTAGGGCTTTACTAGGGATGCGAAAAGGTGTTTATTAAAGTAAATGTTTAACTGCTGAAAATTTCAGCAGTTACACACAGAGAGGGGAAGTCAGCTCCACAGGAGCCAGTGCACCCTCTCTGCCTCCCCCCATTTTGTTGCTGCCTCTGATACAGAGACAGCAGCATGGGGGGGGGGAGGTGGGAGCTGGTGTGTGCAAGGAACCG